TATATATATATATATATATATATATATATATAATGAAAAAAATTAGCCAGACTGAGCTGATCGGGTTAACTCGACCGAAATGAATGAGTTAACTCGGCTAAGTTAGACGCTACGCGGCCAAGTTAGCTGAGTTAGGGCTAGGCGGCTGGTCGACTTGGCGGACGTCTAGGAGAAAAATCGTCATGTTCTAGGGACGCTTAGCGCCTAGGCGGGGCCTAGGCCGATTTTTACAACAGTAATTACTAGTGAAGATACTCTTATAAATGATCGATGGAACCAACCAGACGTCTAGACTAGCCTTGCGAGCCATTTATTAATTAATTATGGATACATTTATGCGTGTGAGAAAAGTCTCCTAAAGTGTCACCCCCACCAGCTACACACCCCTATATAAACTTTTTTCCCCCAGAAAACAACAAAATAGTACAACACAGCATCTCATCATCTACACACAACTACACAAGTAGCAAGAAAAATAACATTCAGCAGCACTGCACAGCCACTCCCTTCTCTTCCTCTTCCTTTTTAGCTCAACCTTATAACTTGTTTAGATTTGGATATCTTCTCAACTATTTGCTTCACCAATTTCTTTCCCCATTCTCTAGCAAGCACCATACAAGCTGACCCACTGTTTAATTTTCCAACAAGTTTGAGGATTTGCAGAAATGGATGTAGACTTTTGGGCTGCAAGGGTACACTCAACAAAGCACCACTCTGCTGTCCAAGCTAACAGGGTCACCAGTTCTGGTAATTATCAAGTCTTCATCACTCTATTATTGTGAAAAGGAAATTGGGTGTTTATCCTTTGGGGTTTTTCAGTGTAGGGTATGCTAATCTTTAGTGAAGTAAATGAATTAATTGATTTGTGAATTTACTAGTTGGCATTCATTTTTCTCACCAGATTTGTAGGGTGGACTGCTTTCTTGGTCAATTATTTGTTTATTCATGTTCTTTTTGGTTCACATTTTACAGAGACAAGAATGCATAAAGATAAAGTAGGAATCTTTTGTGGTTTTCATTTTTGTTCAAGATTGAACTTTGATATTGGATTCTGGTGGAATAGTTTGTTAATTTTTTTATATGATGAGGAATATTACTAATAAATATTGAAGCAGGACAGTGATAACATGTTAACAATAGAGACCTTGTTAATAATAGAGACCTGTTTTCTTGTTTGTTGTTGAAGCTCAAGACTAAATGATATCCTATTTCCAAGTTTTGGGTTTATGGGGAAAAAAACAAGCTCAGTTTTCTCAAATCATGTTCTAAAGTTTGAACCCCAAACCTAAGGCCCTTTACATCCATGCCATTGGGTTCCGTGAGAGGAGGTAAATCGTGGGATGTGCCTTAGTGACGCAAGTTATGAGTGTTTTGCTTTTTTCCCAAGGTTTATTCTTCGCCGGGTGAGGATTTGAACCTGGGTATTTGCTGGGCACTACACCCACACTCAACCTTTTGACCACTAAGCTATGCCCCTGGAGCTTGGTTTTCTTCTTCTATGAGTATGGGTTGGGGGCAAGTGCTGGGTTCCTCATATGAGGGGCAAAAGTTGGGATGCAAACAAAAGGAATCAGACTTGCCCCAGGGGTGGTTTACTTTCTATAATACTTACCTGTTTGGACTAACAAGAGAACACTAAGATGGTGGATCGATTGCCATTTCATTTTTGTTTATAAAAAAAATGCTATTTTCACTCCCTAAAGTAAGCTATAAAGCTATTTATATAATTATATTCAATGGCTATCTACGAATTGGCCAACCCTACTATGAGTCAAAAAGAGTGTATGCAATGATCAAATACGGAGTAAATAACCAAATAGGGAGTGAAAGTTCATTGTAATTTTAGGGAGTGAATGTAGTGTTACTCTTTGTTTGTTTGTCTTAATTTCACTCATTTATGATGTCTTGGTTTTGCAATTAGCAGACACTTACATGAACATGGGAAATGAAGGAGCAGAAGATTTGAGGGCCTGGTTTCCTTGCCCTTTCTGTTACATAGAGATTGAAGTTCCAGTGCTTTGCAGTCATTTGCAAGAAGAACACTGCTTTGATTTGAAAAACGCGGTACTATATCCATTAAATGATGCCTTCTGGTTCTTTTTTTTTTTTTTTCCTTTACTTTTCAGAATACGGAGATTTAATTTCTTTGCACTCTGGATTTAAACAAAATTTCTCTTGTTTGGACTTGTCGTTTGATGTAATTATGCTTAATATAAGGACTAAAGAGGCACCATTGTTATAATTGATTAAAACCCTTATTTAATGAGTTAGCACTACAATAACCAGCTTAGTTGGCGTGAGTATACCCTCAGATTCGTGCCAAAGTAATCAATTTTCGCACATTCTGGACGCGTGGTCATGGTAACCGGGAGGTTGACCGTGACCACTGGAGGTAGCTACAGCTTCCAGCCATCCCAGTCAAGGTCACGGTCGGGATGGTGACCATGATCTGCAAGGCTACCTCGCAGATCCTTGAGGTCACACTGATGGTCACGGTCGTGACCATCACTGTGGACCCAAGCATCCGCAAACTTGACTAGTACCAATTGAGCCGGCCCGGTGCGAGTGGGGATTAGTTTGAATATGATATGGGCTTAAAGGTGCCTCCTACAGCTAGGCCTACTCAGGACACCTCATGGTCTAACCAAAAATGAGTTAGCACCACAATACTTGCTATGGAAGATGTCTCAATTTCTGTTATTATTTTGTCTGAGAAACTGGAATGTATACTTTGGCAAAGTGTGTTGCAGATTGATAATTTTGGTCATAATTTCTACCGTCTTTGATCCAGGTTTGTCCCATATGTGCTGCTACTCTCGGGAAAGATCCTATCAGTCATTTCACCGTACAGCATGCACAATCTGTAAAGGTATTATACATATTTTCATAGGATGTAAATGTAATTGGATCTACATATAAACAAACATTCTTGGTTTCGGTCTACAGAGGAGGAGAAAGTATCAAAAATCAGGCTTCTGGAACAATGCCACAGCAGCAATGATTGGCAGGGACCTTCGAGATCTAACCGGCTCTAACGTCATCAACAGTCATTTCAATGGGCAAGAACCCGCTCCCGATCCACTTCTGCTGCCATTTCTTCCCAATGTGCCTCCTTTGGATTCTGAAACCGTGCAAGAAGATAGCAATTCTTGCTATGTTGCTACTGCAACTGATACACAAAGGTACTATTAACTGAATAATTCCACAAAGATACCTTAATACCTTACAGAAGGCTAACAAATGATGATAAAATATGCGGTTAATCCCAGTCACGCTGGCTAAGGATACAAACTTGTAACCACAAGGTCACGAGTTTGATCCCAGTATTCTTGGTTTGAGCTGGACAGTTATAGGCAACCTAACTGGTTTACCTCCTTGTGGCCCTTTACCAGCTAGGGTCACAAGACGGGATTACTCAGTGCATACCCTCAGATAGTGGCTGCGGGTTTCCCTCGTCACTCCAAAAAAAAATGATGCTAAAATATCTGTCTCGGGTTATTGTAGCAGCAAGCAGCATCTGTCAGATCCAGCTCGGGAGGAAGATTATGCGGAGAAGAGAAAGCGAGCAGCATTTCTTCAGGAGCTGATGGCTTCAACCATTTTCTTGGATCAGTAAACTCGGTCATCCAAGTTCCTTAGTCTGAGCTGACGACAAAGAGAGGAGAGGTGAACGATGGCATTCTAACACTACTAAAGAATGTTAGGTGTTTTTTTCTCTATGGTGTATTGTGATATTGCCTGTAAAATGGCTATGGAACTTCAGGTTTAGGTGACAATGAGTATGTGGTCTGGTCTTGCAGTGTCTTGTCTCTGGCATGATAATATGGGAATTGTATATCTGTAATGAACCAGTTTAAATGACATTCCATATATATATATATATATATATATATATATAAAGGTTTCATTTATTCATCATGGTTTGCTTTTGGTAAAGATTACTTAAATTAGATAATTAAAATGAAGAAAATTTGCAATTATAGTCCTTGAGCTATAGAGGATAGGTGGTTTAAATTTGAGTTGCAATAGTACACCCAATTTAGTTATCAAGTGGGTATATTTTGTCCATGTTCTAATGGATGTAATTATTTTGGACAGAAACTTAAAGAATACTAATATTTTTCCCAAAAGGTTGAATCCCCAACTCCAAGAACGGCCCCCACACCCCCCAACCTGACAGGATGTAAATTATGATAACTCAGTTGAACACAGAGGCTAGACATTTGCTTACAGAAGCTAGACATTTACTTATTGAGCACAAGGAGCCCTCACTTTGAGAGATTGCTTTTAATATGATTTTCTTGAACGGAAACCTAAACAACACCAAACAAGTTCTTACTAACTACATTAGAGATGATCTTTGTGGACAATTAGGAAGCCCACAAACAAGGCAATGTTTTTGACAGGTTCAATCCATTTTGAATGGAGAAGTGAGTATATGTGACTTGCACGGGCAGTTCAGTTGGTTGCCCCGGCAGTCGTAATGTGTGAGGGAATTGAGGAGAGAGAATTTCACCTTTTATGGACAAGTTACACTATAAAACTTCATTTACATATCCAACAACATCATAATATCATCATTATTCACTTGTAAACATAATAGGTACACAGATCTTTTCTTGATTAACATTAACATTAACATTAGCATGAAGCAAATGTGAGTTGGAAGGAAAAAAACAGTGTAGATATTGAATGGAAAACATGCAATTGTCAAAAGTCAAAACAACATTTTCCATCTTGGATGTACCATAACAAGCTTCTAACTAGCAGAAACTTATGTCCTATGAGTAAACCAAACCAGAAAGAGAAGTTTCATGATGAAAGCAACTAATCTCGGCTTTTATACACAAATAAAGTGAGGAATTTCACTCACATTCTCACATATATAATGCAGAATACGTGCTTCCCCTTCCCCGTTTCCATGATAAAGTTCAGAATACTAGGGTCTAAATACAAATGGAAGTTGCGGGATTTAGCAAATAACAAGCAAGCACACATTCTTTAGAAAATCTTCAACAATCAGAAGTAAAATATAAAGCATGTGAAGTAGAGCATTAGCCATTTAGTGACAACATGAATTCTCCAACTAAACTAGAAGGTCTAGCACATAATAAAAGCAAACAAAAAGCTTGAATATATGATGATAACAGTTTGAAGATATTGCACAAAAATGCAGAGACAATGTTAGGTTGATCACTCGAGAATTTTCTGAATGACACCAGCCCCGACTGTCTTTCCTCCTTCCCGGATAGCAAATCTCATCCCTTGCTCACAAGCAACCGGCATAATGAGCTCCACAACCATTTTCACACGATCCCCGGGCATCACCATCTTCGACTCCTCATCTTTGTCATTCTTAATGCCAATCACCTTCCCGGTCACATCAGTTGTCCTCATGTAGAACTGTGGCCTGTAGCCAGAGAAGAACGGGGAGTGCCTCCCGCCTTCCTCCTTCTTCAACACATACACAATCGACTCGAACTTGGTGTGGGGAGTGATTGTCCCGGGTTTCGCCAACACCATCCCCCTCTGGATATCTGCCTTCTGCATACCTCTCAATAACAACCCCACATTATCCCCTGCCATTGCATCATCCAAAATCTTCTGAAACATCTCAACCCCAGTCACAGTTGTGCTCCTAGTGTCCTTCAATCCCACTAAATCAACAGTGTCCCCAACCTTAACAGTGCCCCTCTCTACTCTCCCTGTGGCCACTGTGCCTCTACCAGTAATGGAGAACACATCTTCAATGGCCATTAAAAATGGCAAATCAGTCTGTCTTTGTGGGATAGGAATGTATGCATCCACAGAGTCCATTAGTTCATAAATCTTATCAACCCATTGATTATCACCCCTTTTAAGACTAGGATTAGCCATTAAAGCCTCTAGAGCACACAAAGCAGACCCGGAAACAATTGGAATATCATCACCAGGGAATTCATAAGAGGATAACAGCTCTCTCACCTCCAATTCCACCAGCTGAAGAAGCTCCTCATCATCAACCTGGTCCTGTTTGTTCAGAAACACCACCATATTAGGGACACCCACCTGCTTAGCCAACAAAATGTGTTCTTTGGTCTGGGGCATCGGCCCATCGGCGCCGGAAACCACCAGAATAGCCCCGTCCATCTGGGCAGCTCCGGTAATCATATTCTTCACATAATCGGCATGGCCGGGGCAGTCGACGTGGGCGTAGTGCCGGTTCTCGGTCTCGTACTCCACCGTGGCGGTGTTAATGGTAATCCCACGGGCTCTCTCCTCCGGGGCGGCGTCGATTTCGTCGTATTTCTTGGGGGCGGAGTTGCCATTAGCGGCCAAGGCCATGGTGAGGGCGGCGGTTAGGGTAGTCTTGCCGTGGTCGACGTGGCCGATTGTGCCAATGTTGACGTGGGGCTTGTTCCTCTCGAACTTGCCGCGGGCGGCGCGAACCGTGAAGCGCCGGTGGCGGATGGCCGCGGAGGGAACGGAGGCGGAGGGGGAGTGGACGAAGTGGGTGGATAGAGTTGGGGTGAAAGAAGAGGATAAGATAAGCTTAGAGGGTTTTGCGGAGGTGGGGGTGGAAGAAGGGGTGTATGGGTATACTAATTTGGCGTTGACGGCGGCCGCGGCGGCAGAAATGGAAGCCATTGTGGCTGAAATTTGAGAGAGAACCGGAGGAAGAAGAAGAGGATAGGGTGGAGATGAGAGAGGAGTTAAGAGAGTTTTGGGTGAGAAATCGGAAATGTGGCTGAAACAATGGGGGCGAGGATAACATCTACGGATTAATATATTGTAGCAATTTAGCAATTTGGAGTGGTAGTATGGGATTTCTGTGAAACCCATCTCATATGGTGACACGTATCATGGCTTAAAAATTAATAGGTAATATATATGATCATAGGATCGCGTTCAGGTGCGAATTGTCTGTCCAGGAGAGGAATGAAAACCAGTTAGTGTCGTCCACGTGTCGAAATGAAGGCAGAAGTCTCAAATAGTTCGAAATAAAAGTAGAAGTGTCAAATATGTACATCTACTACTGCGAAGTGCTCAATTCTCACCACGAACTAAATTAAAATATAATCCGCCACACTTACCAGCTAAATTTGTTTGATTAGCTTTTTTTGAAGATTGCTAACCGGTTGCCTATTCAATTATTAAAAAAATAAAAATAAAATAAATAATAAATAAAGGAAATTTCAGCCAACGGCTGTCCGGCGAGGATGGCCGCCGCCCTCGTTCCAGGCCGTTTGAGGTCCAGATCTAAAGCTCATGTTCGGCAGCCACGGCTGTCTGAGAAATACGCAGTCAGCGGCTGTCTGGTGGTGGCTGAAATTTATTTATTTATTTATTTTAATAGTTAAATAGGCAACCAGTTAGCAACTTGCAAAAAAAGTTAATCGAACAAATTTAGCTGGTAAGTGTGGCTATTTAGACTTAATTTAGTTTGTGGTGGGAATTGAGCACTTCGCAGTAGTAGATGTGTCTATTTGATACTTGTGCCTAGGGGTGTCAAAGCGGGTCGAAGCCCGCAGGTTAGCCCGCACCCACCCCGCTATGGGGCGGGTTAGGGTCGCAAGAAATTAGGCTCGCGAAAATGCGGGCCTAACGGGCATGGCCTGCGGAGGGCCAGAGCTCATGCGGGCAAACCCGCGCGGGTCGCGGGCCGGCCCGCGGGCCAGGCCATATTTAAAAAATAAATAAATAAATTATATATATAATATTTAAAAAAAAAAAACCATATATATAATATCTCAATTCTAAGGCAGTGTGTAGATCTAGCTATCTAAGAGTACGCAGAAGGGGAGAAATCCAATAATTCAATAATTTTTCGCCAATTCTTAATTCAATAATTCCTAGAGTACGTAGTTCTTCGGTTCTCCCGTCTCCATCCGCCTCCAACTCTATCAAACAATTACTAAAACTAAATTATCAATTCATACATACTTATGAATTACTAAATCGCCTCCAAGTCCAGTAAACATACATATTTATATATGTATTATACACAGACGGGAACTGTAGAGGGAAAATCTGAAGCCGAGAGAGAAATAGAGTGTGTTGTTGAACCCTAGCTTTGATCACCCTTCTACAGTTCTGCTCAACGCGCAGTATCGATCCGGAGATTTGGGCGAGGTTTATGGATTTTATGGAAGTTTTCCGTGCATTGAGGTGTATGATACACCGTAAGGATGCGAAAGAACGACCAATAAATAGTGTCATATTTCAAGCGGTTTTAACATGTTTATATACTATTTAATGTTTTTTTTTTAATTTAAGTGATAGCCCGCGGGCCAGCCCACGAGACCCGCATGCCCGCATGGGGAGGGCTTGGGCTGTATAGTTCCAAGCCCGCGGGCTTCACGGGCCGACCCGCAAAAAGCCCGCCAAATAAAAAGCCCGCGGTGGGGCGGGCCTAATGAGGCGGCCGGCCCGCATTGACACCCCTACTTGTGCCCCAAATGAATGAATCAGATCTAATTTTAAAAAAAATAAGACAGTGGCATTTTCATAAATAATTCAAACTTTGGTGTATGTAAATGTATTATAAATGTAAGTAGTTCGTGTACCTTTGCAAGTAAAAAGTGCAGGTAAAATCACTTACAAGTGCACTTACTTTCACCTACAAGTGCATGTAATTTTGCCTTGTTAATATTCATGCACCTATATGCAACTACTTATAACTATAGGTGCATCTAGTTATAACGTTAGGTGCACTTAGTTTTGATGTTCAGTATAAATTTTACTTGCACCTGTAATACATTTTACCTGCACTTGTAATACATTTACATGCACTAAGGTGCATTATATGAAACGGTTTACTTGCACTTGTAATACATTTTACTTGCACTTCGATGTTCAATTATTTATGGAAATGTCACTGCGTTTTTTTTTTTTTTATATAAAATCAGTGTTTCTCCTCCCTTAGATTTGGACACGTCGCGCGCGCTGAAGGGTTCTTAGTTCTTTCCTGGGCAGCTGTTCGCATGAGAGTGCACCCATGTGTGTGTATATATATATATATATATATATATATATATATATATATATATATATGGGTAGGGTTCCAGTGAGAACATGTGCTTAGGTGAGAACGTGAGAACACATCAGGTGCATCTATCTAATATTTTTTAATGGCCTAGATTAGATTAAGTGCGTGCAAACGCGCATTAAATGTGTGCAAACGCGATTTAGTGTGTTTGCACACATTTAATGCGCGTTCGCACACATTTAATGCGCGTTCGCACACACTTAATCTAATCTAGACTATTAAAAAATATTAGATGAATGCACATGATGTGTTCTCATGTTCTCATCTAAGCACATGTTCTCATATGATCCTAACTCTGTATGTATGTATGTATGTATGTTTCTTAGTTCACACTAGACTAATTCTAACTTCCAGTTTCTGGCATCAAAAGTCACTAGACGATGTAAATTTGAATCGTATGAATAACCTTTTAGTCCGTCTAATGACTTACTATGCGCACAAGGAACTCAACATACATCCTACTCCAACATGGGTAGGGGTGTGTAAATTTTGGTGAAAGTTTGATTAACCGACCAAATCGAAGAATTTTGATTAACCATTTTTTAACCAAAATACTTCAATACGGTTAATGGTTACAAATTTTGTAAAATTTCGGTTAACAGTTAATTTTGTTCGAGACAATCGGTTAACCCAGAACTGTCCAGTTAACCAAAATTTTAAATAAATAAATAAATAAATACATAAATAAATAAATAAATAAATATATATATATATATATATATATATATATATATATATATATATATATATATATATATATATATATATGTATGTATGTATGTATGTATGTATGTATGTATGTATGTATGTATGTATGTATGTATGTATGTATGTATGTATGTATGTATGTATGTATGTATGTATGTATGTATGTATGTATGTATGTATGTATGTATGTATGTATGTATGTATGTAAGTCTCCATCAAAGATATATCCCTCATTTATGTCCATGTTTTTAATACTAATCATTTTGTATATTGTGCTTTTAGAGTTGTACTATATAAATTTTTTGGATAAAAATACCCCTACCGTTATAACTTTCGTTATCTTTTTCATTATTGTTACCATGCACATCCATCCACCATATATTTTCTTATATTCTTTAATGAAAATAATAGAGAAAATATCATTTTTAGTCCCTCGATTATAATACATGTATCAGTTTTAGTCCTTGATTATTAAATTTTCAATTTTGGTGCATGACTATTCAATTTGTATCACATTGGTCCTTGACTATTAACATCTTCAAATTAGATGCATGACTATTCAACTTGTATCACATTTGGTCCTATCATTAAATTTTTCGGTTAAAATTCCAACTAAGTCACCGGTGACTGGCTAATTTATTTAATTTTATTTTAAAAATTTTTCAATTAAAACATTTTAAATAAAAATAAAATTAAATTAAATTAAATAAATGCCCTCCACCCTCCTCCTTCGTCGCCGGAGACGAAGGAGGAGAGGGTGGCCGGCGTTCTCTTTTCCCCCATCCTTCTTAGTCTCTAGTGGAGACAAAGGAAGAATGAAGAGAGAGAACGTTGGCCACCCCACCCCTATCTTCCTTCGTCTCCGGCAAAGACGAATGAGGAGGGGGTGAGGTGGCTGTCGTTTTTTAATTTTTTTAAAAAATTTTTTTAATTTAAAAATTATTAAAATAATTTTAAAATAAAAATTAAATAAATTAGTCCATCATCGGTGACTTGGTCAGAATTTTGACTGAAAAACTTAACGGCATGACCAAATGTGATACAAGTTGAATAGTCATGCACCTAATTTGAAAATGTTAATAGTCAAGGACCAAATGTAATACAAATTGAATAGTCATGCACGAAAATTGAAAATTTTAATAGTCAAGGACTAAAATTGATACATGCATTATAGTCGATGGACTAAAAATGATATTTTTTCATAATGATATTTGTAGACATTATATTAGATTATTATTATAAATAAATTTGATTTCATATAATTTTAATTAGTAGGGATTTGTTAGTTAGTTTTAAAAATTAAATATTGGGTGTATATTTTTATGCATCGCGCATAGAAAAGACTAGTATATATATATATATATATATATATATATATATATATATATATATATATATATATATATATATAAGGAAGGGATCAGGTGCATTTGTGGCTTTCCGTGCGGATGTGCGGTGGATTAATGTGCGTGAGGTTTATACTTAATGTGCGTGAGATTTGTACTCAATGTGCCTGAGATTTGTACTTAATGTGCGTCATGTTAATATGCGTGAGTTTTGTACTTAATGTGCTTGAGTATTGTATTGTGTTTAATGTGCGTGAGATTTGTGCTTAATGTGCGTGCGTATTTCAAAATTACGAGCTCAGAAGGAAGCAGAACAGAAACTGACGCACATTAACGCCCAAGCTTCTTGTTACTTCTTCCTTCAATTTGGCCGTGGATTCTGGATTATCAGCTACCTTCAATGCAGTTGAATGTTTATATAAATGACGCACGCACAGTAAAATTTGCACAGCAGCTAAGTGTGGATTTCTGTTGTATTATTTCCATAATTCTTAACCACCATAGCTCGCCTCTGCATCATATCATCAGGGAGGGGCAAATGGCTACTGGGATGGGGAAGAAGCTGGCATCAATATTTTCTGCTGCATTTTACACATTCACGCACATTAAGTACAAATCTCAGGCATATTAAGCACAACACTCACGCACATTGAGTACAAAT